GACGGGAAAGCGGAGACCTTCCATCCCAAGAGCCTCCACCATCTCAGTCACAGCCGGCATCCAACGACCCTGGAGACGACTTCGTCAACCAATTTGATCAAGACCAGCATCATTTTTAGTTTTTTTTTAGTTTTTCATTGTATATTATGAATTTTAAAACTTATTATTGTATATTATTAGTTATTTATAAATATTTTTTATTTATTTTTAAAATTTTTTTAAATATATATAATTTTAATTTATAATTGTTTTTTTTTAATAGGAAAAAATAGTTTCGAAGTAAAATCCTCGTAAAGGTTTCGAGGTAAATTCCTCGTAAACTTTCCTAGCAAACTCCTCGTAAAGTGTCTACTACGAGTTTACGAGGAAGTACTTTACTACGGCCTTACGAGGAAAGTGTACGTGGAGCTTACGAGGAAATGTTTTCCACGGCTTTACGAGGAAAACTTTCCTCGTAAATTAGCTAGGCCTTTACGAGGAAAATAGCCTTTACGATGAACGTCTTTCGACGAAACACGTTTCCTCGCTATTTCCTAGTAAAGGACCCTTTACTAGGAAATAACGAGGAAAACCCGTCCTAGTAAAGGACGTGTTTTCTTGTAGTGTAAGTATTCCATTTTATTTAGTTATTTTGTTTTTTGTTGGGACAAGTATGCTGTTGCTCCATGGGCTTTGGAAAGTGTCTTGGAGTATATAAAGCAGAGATATGGCAATCCTCCTGTCTACATTCTTGAGAATGGTCTCTTTATATCCCTCTTTTTTTTTTGGTCTTAGTTTGCTTGATTTTCTTACCAATGCAAACCAATAGGTAGACCGATGAAGCAAGATTTGCAACTGCAACAAGAGGATACACCAAGGATTGAGTACTTACATGCTTACATTGGTGCTGTCCTCAAATCCGTTAGGTAAGTAGAGTTTATTATTGCATTATCTTCTCTGGTCGGTGGAATGATGAAAAATACATTATCACAAGTGTAGGAATGGATCAGACACGAGAGGCTACTTCATATGGTCATTTATGGATTTATACGAGTTACTGAGAGGATACAAGTTTAGTTTTGGACTATACTCTGTGAATTTCAGCGATCCTCGTCGCAAGAGATCTCCCAAACTCTCTGCATATTGGTACGCCTCTTTTCTCAAGGGAAACACCACTTTTCTTGGTCCCCAATGTACCCATGCAATTGCAGAGTAGCTTTTTTTTTCTTCAGCTTCGTTGTAGTAGTATGTATTGTATTTACATCTTTTGATGAATCTGGTTCGGTTATGAGAGTTGTACCGAATACATTTTTCCTTCAAGTTTTTCTATATTTACATGAATACTATAAATTCAAGATTCAAAACTTTAGCACAAAATTTCTGTAGTTATGATCTACACCGCTAAAAACATAATTGAAAAGAGCTGCAGTAATTACTAAAGTGAAAATATATTAATTTAATTAAAGTATATATATATATATATATATAAAATCTGATATATTGATTCCATAAGTGATTGGTACATGTACATAGACCCGACCAAATAAACATTATACCAATCAATTAATCATACAAATATTTTTAGAGATATTGGATTCTCCATCCAAGCAGGTCGGCTAGAGAAATGTTCGTGGGGAAGCACGTTGGTGTGATCTTGTGCAACAACAACAAAGCCTTACCAATACAACTTTGACCTTTAGGCCAATATTAGGACAAGATTGTGTTTACCACACCTTCTAATCTTTCCAACAGAAACTCACATCTAACACTTTCTTAAGTACTTGTCCATCTTTCCTCTTTTATTAATCTCACTTCTCTAACCCTACACCTCATACCAAATCATGACTCTTTTCTCCATTTATTGTTTCTTCGTGGCACTATTATTATGTCAGTCCTTGGTTCGTGCCGTTAACAACGGTTATTACGGGTATAACCCATCGGTTGCCAGCTATCTACCCGAGAAACCTCAGAACATCATGAATCCGGTGGACTCGTGTTGGCGGCATAAATCTGACTGGTCCGCTAACCGCAAAGAGTTAGCCGATTGCGCGGTTGGGTTCGGTTCATCTGCCTTGGGAGGCAAGAAAGGTAATATATATGTTGTCACAAACCCTAACGACAATGCAGCGAACCCTAAACCGGGTTCTCTCCGATACGGTGTGATCCAAGACAAGCCGTTGTGGATCACTTTCGCTAAAGATATGGTCATAACCTTAGAGAATGAGCTCATGGTGAACAGCTATAAGACCATAGATGGGAGAGGGGCAAAAGTGGAAATTGCTTACGGACCGTGCATTACGATACAACAAGTGACGAACGTAATCGTGCATGGGATCAGTATCCACGACTGCAAACCGGCGAAGTATGGAATGGTGAGGAGTAGCACAACGCATGTCGGTCATCGAAAGGGATCGGACGGTGATGCGATCGCTATTTCCGGATCGTCTAATATTTGGATCGACCATTGTTATCTAGCGAGTTGTACGGATGGCCTGATCGATGTGATACATGCTTCCACGGGAATCACGATCTCCAACAACTATTTTACTAAGCATGTTAAAGTCAGATCAATTTCAAATTTCTATATAGATAGTTGAATTAATGTCTCACGCAACTAATCACTTTTTGATGATAACGGTCGTTATTTATTTATAGGTGATGTTGCTCGGACACAACGATAACTTCGTGCAAGATGTGAACATGAAAGTGACCGTGGCATTCAATCATTTTGGACTAGGACTTGTGGAAAGAATGCCAAGGCAAGTATTTTTTTTTAAATTACTAATTAATTTTAATGCAGAGTTAGAAATATAATCATGTAAGAAAACTGTGATGTGTAGGGTCAGACGAGGTTACGCTCATGTGGCAAACAATAGATACGATAAATGGATAATGTATGCAATTGGTGGTAGCGCCGATCCAACCATTTTCAGTGAAGGAAATTATTTCATTGCTTCTGATAAATCTAATAGTAAAGAGGTACACTACACATATAAATTAGGAGCAAAATCTGATTATCATTACTATTTGACCAGGAAATATTAATACCAAATCTTTATAGTTATCACCAATTATATATATATATATCGTGTGTAATATTATATATCGGTTATTAGGATCGAATAATTGGTTCGCCACGACTATTCAATATGTAATATGTGAGTTATTTTTTTTTAAAGAATTGATGGCTATATACAACGTTCCAGTTAGGGTTGGAACTTTTATTCGGGATCCGGATTCGATCCGAGATCCGCTCCGAAATTATGATATCCGAAGGTGTCCGAATCTAAATTCGGGTAGTAAAATTTTGGATCCGTGCAAATCGAATCCGGATCCAGATATCTTAATTTTTAGGTCTGGATATCCGGATTCGAATCTGTATTTTAAAAATATAGTAAATTTTTATTTTTTTAATTAATTATATCTGATATATTAATATTTCTACATAAAATAAGTTTAATAACATTCTACTTTTATATTAATAATATTAAATGTCATATATATATATATATATTCACAAATTATGCTTAAATATTTAGTTTATGCATTATTTTTAATTTTTTTTTCATTTTTTAATTATTTTTACGGATCCGAATCCGGATATCCACGGATATCACAATATCTAGACGGATATCTGACGCGCGGATATCCGGAAGACACAAATCCGGATATGGATACTAAAATCACGGATCAACGAATCCAGATCCAGATACTTTAAATTTCACGGATATCCGGATCCGTTCCACCCCTAGTTTCAGTTGCATAAGGTCCATAACCGGGTGCCGGTCCGGATCTATATAGCACCTAAAACGGACAAAAAATAATACCTTCAATTACATCTACTTTTTACTCACTTTAAAATAAACAATATTGTACCAAGTATAATTAAAATTTAAATTATTTTCTACGAAGATAGAATACATAACTCAAATCATCATTTGCAGCTTATCTTGTCAATTTTTTTTCGTTTTGTTTGCAACACTATTAATTTTTGTAACATTTTTACAACTAAAAAGTACAACTAAATAATCTATATAATATAATTTATAAAATGCAGTAAAAATATGATAAAATCAAGAGAAATTTTATTAGTTTTTAACTTTTTCTAGAGTAAAAGAATATTAAATTCTATCGTAAATTTGGTTTGGATTATAATTTTTTTTTAAAAATTTGAACTTACAAAAGAAAAAAAAAAGATTTGGAAGATATAGAATCTTTGGAAGATCCATCACATATAAGCAATTCATAGATTAAGTTAGTTGTCATAACATTTTTGTGCACCCATCTTAGAAGATGTGTTTACCTAATAGCAAATACTTTATTATCATGATAACAGATATTTTGATTGTTCGAACATGGAACAAAAACATTCATAAATTTAATAAACAGGTGACAAAGAGAGAAGTGAAAGGAGGGTGGAACAGTTGGAGATGGAGAACTTCAAAGGACGTTTTCAAGAACGGAGCTTACTTCGTACCTTCCGGCTACGGCAGCGTTGAGTTGCCATACAATTCTGCTCAGCGATTCCCAGTGGCTCCAGGGAACATGGTTCCTTCTCTAACCGCAGACGCTGGCCCTCTAAATTGCAACCGCAATCTCCCTTGTTATTAGTATAGAAGAGGTGAACTCAAAAGCCAAAAGAAAATGTCACATCATGTGTACACATACTCATTTCACGAGATGTATCTAATTTCTGGTAGATCACGTTATTTTTCTTTATTTTGCTTAGTTAATACCAATTAACTATATGTTTTCGTATGGTGCATGCTTTTGCTACATAGAGTGGTTAAGGAAAATAAGCTAGACTTAGGGTTTCATGTAGGCAATCAGAACTATATTTTATAGATAATAATAATGTGATAGGTATTGTCTTAGAACTCGAATTGAATAAGTAAGATATTCTCACTCAGTGCGAGGCTAGTCAGATGTCTAAATCATATGTTCCAGCTCTCTCATGAGAACTAGGAAGAGTGTCGATCGAAACTACAAAGTATAAATTGATACTTTCATGCATTAAAGTTCAGATCGATATGTTCACTAAGTTAATTAAACCATCTCTCGCTTGCGCTAGCTCAACATAATTATTTCAGGTAATCAACCATGCTCTCGCTTGCGCCAATTATTCTATGATCAGGTTTCTGTTTTGCTATGCTAGAACACAAGCAGAAAATCAATTCTTTGAAGGATCCAATTTAATTATTCTAGAAGTTATAGATTCTACAAGTTCATCAAACCCCTAAAAAATCTTAAATCTAATACGGTAATTACTCATACATTTTAAAGCAAGACATAAAGAATGGCCGAATGAATTGCATTAAAAGATATAATAAAAAATACTAGAGCTCCAATATAAATCTATATATGAAGGAATCTTTGATCTTCTCTCCAAAAAACTACAAATAAAAATAAAGCTTTGTGTATGTGTATCTTGCCTAAACAATGGCTTAAAACTATAAATTCTTGGTATAAGTCGGCTAGGGGAATCTTGTAATATATGGTAACGTCTGGCAAGACTTATTCTAGAAATAGAGTCGGCTCGTCTCTCGTGTCGGTGTGACACTAAGGAAGAGGTGTCGATCGACACACCTTCTAGATCTCGGCTCTGACTATTTATTACTTGAACAGCTACGGGTTTCCTCATTCTTATACTCTAATGGTTCTATAATATTCACATTGCCCCAAAACATACTTTGACTTGAAAAGACTCTAACATAAACTCTAAGTACATATAATAGACTCTAAATAGAACTTATAATATGGCTAAAAACCAGTAAAAGAAATAATGTATCATAAAACCCGATGATGAGGATGAATGTGGTAACCGAAATCCGCACTGTCAATTTTACTATTGGGGTCCAGATTCTCTGCAAAGACCAACGACAAGTGATCAAATAAATGCAGAAAATAAAAATAGACAACAAAGCAAATTTAGAAAAAGTAGATCTTTATCTCGAACTTGCATATGATGTTCCAAAGACAAAAACATGCACTAGTTCGTCGGGAAACATGATTATAATGGAAATTAAATAACATAGGCAGCAAAACCTAACTAAGTTCGCAAGCTTAATATGTGACCCGCAACTCGTTTAGCGAAAAGACAAAAAGAAATTATTGATTTCAGACTGGACCTTATGAAAGGATGTCTACATACCCCTTTTTGAAGATCAAGCCAAGCGTAGTCCAGTTTACAAACAGTTGAACAAGAGATCAAATTAATAGAGTGCAAGTACTAGAAAACAGTTTCGCAATATTCTTCTAGTAATAGAGTGCAAGTTACAGAAGACAAAGCATGTCGGAAGTAATGCTTAAGGTTTCTAAGGCCTAGAGTTCTAAGAGTCTAAAATCATTTTTTTTCTTCTCTGTCCTGATTGTGCTTATATATGCCTCCAGATTCGGTCGTCTTTCCTTATATGCTGTTATTCATGTTTAAAATCTCTTCCAAGTTTTCCTTATCTGCTCAAGTTTTGAGTTTATTCTCAAAAATCTTTCATTTATCCTCTTTTTCTTATTTTTCTCCACGCCAAGTAAACCAACATTACAATCTGGGCCAGTTCACGATCCAAGTCATAAAGTGGATTTTCATCATGTTTTAGTTCGTTTTGAACCTTTTTACGACTTGCACGTTATTACGAATTTTATATGAAATCGCTGACTTGTCCGATTTTACGATTTTCAATGTCGTTCGTCTATAAAATGAAGAATATCATTTCTATTTGTAAAAAAAAAACATGATGGTTTTAAGTTAAATATTCTTGACTGGATGTTTGACTAAACTTTTACGACAAAACAATGTATTACTTTTTTCTTCGTAAAGTCTCAACGAAAAACTCTGATTGCAACGAAATGAAGGACATTTTGAACGAGCTTCAAAGGAGAACATGATAGACAGCCCAAAGGGCGATTAGGGTCCTCATTTTACAATGAGGGCATGTGAGAAGGGCGATGAGGAGATGAGAGAGGCCATTGGGCAATGAGAGCCATTGAGAAGTATAATGAGGCAAGGAGAGAGGCTCCTTTGGTGACCAGGGCATTTGAGAAGGGAGATGAAGAGTGAGAGATGGGATATTGGCAATGAGGCTAGGAGAGAAGGTCGATGAGGAGTGAGAGAAGGGGTAATGGGCGATGAGGCTAGGACAGAAGGGCGATGAAGAGTGAGAGAAGGGCTATTGGGCGATGAGGCTAGGAGAGGAAAGATGGAAGTGGGTCTTATGAGTGATGAAGCTGTTATCTTGTTCATTTCGCTTCTCTGTTGATCGCTTTGTATGCTTTTGGAACTATTTTGTTTGTTTTACGCGATTTTTTTCACAAAGATATTTTGAAAGTTCTTTTGATGACACATCCATTGATGGGAAGTAATCCAACAGTACTACTCCAATCTAAATGCAGTGTAAATTAGCAATAATTAGCAATGGTGACACCAAACTTACTAACAAGTTGTTGATAACACATGTATGTCTTATGGAATTGGTCAGGACCAACCCATTCGAAAGAGAGATTCTAGAGTTGAGATTGGACTAATGCATGTAACTTTGAACATAGATTTAGCTTGCATAGAGGAGGATGAGACGGTGAAAAATTCGGCCGGAGTTCCAGAGACATCTTCCGAATCTTAAGGCAGTAACACCAAGCCAGCGGATGAATCAACATCTTCATCTTCTTCTCTTAAGCATATCGAATGATAGTCTATCCCAAGGGTAGGCAAAAAAAATATTAACCTCTTTGATTAGCTCGGCCTAATCTTGTTAGATCTATGGGGTGTGAGTAGTTGGAAGTATGACTGAAGCAAGTAATGCAAGGCACGCATATTTTACCCGCATCTCTTTGACTTCTTTTATCGTACCAAATACCCCCCCCCCAATAGGGTTTCTCATATTTATCACAATTAGGCCGGTTACGCTTGAAATTTTCTTGAGGGAGAATCTTATGGGTTTGCCAGCAAAACATGAACCATGCGTTGTATCTCTTCACAATCTTCAATTGTCTGGATATAATGAATCGTCGAAATCTCTCAGAAAGTGAGGGCTTTTCAGAAATTTTGCCAATTATCTAGAGGGGATCCACATATAACATATACTTCACCTGGCTTGAGTGATCTAAGTATCTGTATAATACCATAGGGTTTGCGATACGGTGTAACCTTAATTCCGACAGATTTTTCACAGCATTCAAAAATTCTCTCTAGTATTAAATACGATGGATCTGCAACATCGACTCCTTGCATTTAAAGTTGAAGGTGAAAAAAGAGAATTTTAAGAATGAATTAATAAATAGGAACACGAATTTCGATTCTAAAAAAAGATGTCAGAGTGAACTAGAAATAGTTAGAATTGATACTTTCGCTATATTGAATCTGAATTTCAATATACAGATCTTTCAGCAAGATTTGTATACATATAAACTAGTGTATTAGTCAGAGAAAATATAAGGATACTAGTGTCAATAACACAAAATCTCAAGGGTCAATAGTGTTTTTAGTATATATTTAAATATGAACAAATGTTTTGGTAGGAAATGCAATTTCTCTTTTTTTTTTTTAATCTTTCTTTTGCACACAAGTGGCAAGAGAAACCCATATGTTCTTACATAAGCCCATTAGAGTAACTAAAAATCCTAAAAGCTGATGGTGGAGCCTATGGTTTAAACTATTACAACCATATAAATTACTACATCCTATGGCCCGATCTCATAAGAAATAGTGACTCGTTGTATGTCATTAATTATATAATTATACTAGGTTAACATCCGTGCCTTACGCAGAATGGGAATTATATATGCAAATTATTTTCTGTAGTATTATTTATATTTTGTTCTTTTGCATATTATAAAATAAATGTAAATATATATAGTGCATAATTAAAAATTAGTAAATATTTTGTATATAATTAAATTAGTGTGTTCACATAAATATAAAAGTCACTCTTATTTATTTACAATCACTTTATATAAGTAAATTTAGAAAATAAATGATATTAACATAGATATATATACATATATATTATATATAAATATAGTATATTTTTAACTTTATATATCCATTAAACGAAGCTTCATACTTATATGGTTTTATGATTATTGGTATATTTTATAACCAAAATTTAAAACCATAGATAAATTTTTTTTTTTAAAACTAATGATAACATAATCATTAATATGAGACGTCTAATATTTATAGTAATTCATTTTTATTTTTAAAAAAATTAAAATTTGAAACTAAAATATTAAGTTCTCATTACTTGTTCAGTGCAATTTTGAAATTATAAATTTTATATATTTTTAGATGGTATATAGTTTAATTTAAACATCATCATAAAATTATATATATATATATATGCTGAATATCTATTAAACGATATTTCTTACTCAGTGATTGTATAATTATTTTTATCTTGTTTTAACAAAAAAAATTATTAATAACAAAAAAATCTATGTTGAATTTTAAAGGTTTTATTAATTTATAGTTATTTTGAAAATTCATAATATAACATATATGAAAAAATCTAATTTGTTATATCATATAGTTATTGTGATTGTTTAATTTATTTTTGTAAGATAAATTTAACAAAAAGAATAGTGGGTACATAAATTTTATGACATATTTCTTAATTATATTT